CCGTGAGTTCGAGCCCCGCGTCGGGCTCTGGGCTGATGGCTCAGAGCCTGGAGCCTGTTTCTGATTCTGTGTCTCCCTCTCTCTCTGCCCCTCCCCCGTTCATGCTCTGTCTCTCTCTGTCCCAAAAATAAATAAACGTTGAAAAAAAAATTAAAAAAAATAAAAATAAAAAAAATAAACATGTAAGGGGTGCCTGGGTCAGTTAAGCATCTGACTTTGGCTCAGGTCATGTTCTCACAGCTTATGGGTTCGAGCCCATGTCGGGCTCTGTGCTGGTGGCTCAGAGCCTGAAGCCTGCTTCGGATTCTGTGTCTCCCTCTCTCTCTGCCCCTCCCCTGCCCATGCTCTGTGTCTCTCTCAAAAAATAAATAATAAACGTTAAAAAAATTTTTAAGTGTATTAAAATAAGTAACCAGCACACTGAATCCAGGATTTCATGGAGCAGAAAGATATTTTAGGAAAAAGAAAAATTACTAGATTTAAGGACATATATCATTGACATAATAATACAGATGACACTGTGGATTAGGCAAGAATTGTCACACCCAAAAAACTGAGGTTTAGGAAATCCTGTTGGACTAATCTTTGAAGATGCTGGGACGCCGGGGTGGCTCAGTCGTTTAAATGTCCGACTCGATTTCAGCTCAGGTCATGATCTCATGGTTTGTGAGATCGAGTCCCGCATCCGGCTCGCTGCTGATTCTCTCTCCCTCTCTCTCTGCCCCTCCCCCAGCCTCTCTCAAAAATAAACAAACATTAAAAAAAAAAATTATAAGGGGAAGACTTCGGCATCCTTCTTGGCCAGAAAGCCAGTAGTGAAGAAAGGGTTGAAATCCAGGAGACAAGTGACTGACTACTTGATGGAATGAAGTTCCGGACGAGGGGAAGGGATGCGAGATTACCCCAAAACCACTTCCTCCAAGATGACAGGGAATGATGTCAGGACAGGGGTGGGTGAAGCAGCTTTTAGAGCAGAGGGAAATAACCGAGGGAATTGGCACCTGGAAATCTCTGTTTTCCCAGTCATTTGTTGGGGGTACATCTATCAACAGTGGGAAGGACAGGAAGCTTGAGGGGAGGAGGCTGAAAAGGGTAGAGATTTGGGTCACAGAAAGGGATGCAGGGGCTAATGATCTCAGAGGAGTTTCGGGGGCAGGGGGGGCAAAGTCAGTCAGCTGAAGAGAAGAAGACACAGAAGTCACTGAGGTGGAGACACCCAAACTTTGAGAAGCTGGGTGGGGCGAGTGGTCTTCCCTGGAAGCCTCTCCCAATGCTGGCCAGAGTTGTAATGGAAATACTGAGCACCAGGGGCCAAAGGCATCTAGGAACATGGGGGAAGCGGATGAGGGGTTAGGTGGTGGTAGTGGTGAAAAGAAAAGGTGGAGAGAATGGTCAAGGAGAAAGCACTTCCACCTGAGAGATGAAATATTAGTCTGGGGGGAGACAGTGGGGAACTCGACAGCACAGGGGGCAGAAAAGGAAGAGCAGCCTCCATTGGGGGGAGCTCCAGGCAAGACACACACGGGAGGACTTGGTGTTCTGTGAAGAGCTGGTTGGGCTGGGGGTTATAAAAAATATACAGCTGACCCTTGACCAGCACAGGTTTGAACTTTTGCAAGTTCACTCCCGTGCAGATTTTTTCTGATAAATACAGAGCAGTACAGTAAATGTATTTTGTCTCCCTTAGGATTTTCTGAATAACATTTTCTTTTCTCCAGGTGATTTTATTGCAGGAATACAGTACATAATACATATAACATGCAAAATCTGTGTTCTTCCACTGTTTACATTATCAATAAGGCTTCTAGTCAACGAAAGGTTATTAGTAGTTATGTTTTGAGGGAGTAAAGTTATACACGGCTATTAGACTGTGGGGGCGGGGGGTCGCATCCCTAACCTGCGCACTGTTCAAGAGTCAAGTGTAGTTCCAGAGCGCCATAAGGCCAAGAGCTGGGAGGAAAGGAAACAAATAAAAAGGAAGGCTGGAGGAAGAAAAGAACAGTGTGGACAAGGGTGCCTGGGTAGCTCAGTTGGTTAAGTGTCTGACTTCGACTCAAGTTGTTCATGGGTTTGAGCCCCACATCAGGCCCTGTGCTGACAGCTCGGAGCCTGGTGCCTGCTTCAGATTCTGCATCTCCCTCTCTCTCTGCCCTTCCCCCACTGGCACCCTGTCTGTCTGTCTGTCTGTCTCTCTCTCTCTCTCTCTCAAAAATAAACATTAAAAACATTTTTAATAAAAAAAAGAACAGTGTGGACACAGGATGTCACAGTCACTACGGCCATGCTGAAGGACTATAGTAATGAAGGAGGGAGGGGATCCCACTAGGTAGTACTGAACTCCGCCCCCACCCAGGCCACAGAAAGCAGCACAATTTTGCCTTTCAGGAAAACAGGGCTCCTGGCCATGGGAGGTATCTACAGGAGAGCTGTCTTGCCTTGGGTATAAACTCCAAAGTCAGTTACTTTTGGAAAATTACAAGACTTCTAGGAAAGAGAACCCCTAAACCCTCAGCTTTTTTGATTTACAGAGAATCATCTTCCCGCTGCTCACTCCAGATCAATTTGTCCTCTGCAAGGCCCAGGTCTGAGACTCGGGACCAAAGACTGAAACCAGCCTTAGGAAAACCAGACTTTTCTCTAAGTGCATATAATTTCCCCCAAATGAACAGCAGATGACAGCAAAGAGCCAGAAAGGAAGCCAAGGCTTCTGAAGAGCCCAGAAGTGGTGACAAATAAATCCTGTTCTGTTCCTATGGCGCCCTCTGTCGCACTTACCCTGCTGGTTTACACTCCCAAGGCTCTCTTCCCGCACAGACTCCCTATAGCAGGGAATCTCTGATTCCCTAGTACAAATGCTGGGTTCGTAGTAAGTGTTCAACAAATACATGTTGGGGGTGGCTGGAGGGGAGACTCCCAACCTGCTGTGTGGTTAGGGGACAGGTGCCTGCCTTTTAGGACAATGAGGTACGCGGAGAAAAGGACTGGTTTGAGAGGGAATCGAGGCCAGGCTTTGAATCCTGGCTCTGCTACTGATGGCTGTGAGCAAGGTACCTAACATTTCTGAGCCTTGGCTTTCTCCTTTGTAGAAGGGGCATTTTCACCAGGGTTAGTTGGATGAGAAAACACACAAAGCGTGCCTAGCAAAGTATCTCACACACAGGAAACACTCAATAAAAAGCTGATATTTACTGTGGCTATTATTACCGTTACTGTTTTTACAGCCTCTACTCTGGGCCAGGCACCAGAGGAAAGAGGAAAGAATCACTAACAGTGAGAAATAAATTGGAATTAAGCCTTGGCATCCCTGCTTCCTCGGCTCAGTTACCCCAAACAGTGTGGCGACAGATTCAACAGAAGGCTGCAGTGGAACCTAGCACTTCTAGAAGCTGCAGCTTCCCAGACTGTGAGGGGTTTTTTGTGGGGAGGGGGTACTGGGGATGGCTACTTGGTATTTTCCATCTCAGAATAGTCTGGCTCAGCTACCTAACAGATTTTTACGGGCACCTCGGAGCCAAGTAGGTTTAACTAATGGCCATGCACATTGGGCCAAAACCTGCATCTCATCCCTCAGAAAGGAGAGGGGGGTTGCTTCTGGAATGCAGAGATAGCTGCCTGCCTGGTTCTATTCAGAATGAGTGTATCCCCCAGACTTGAATATTATTAGCAAGCTGCTTCCTGTGCCACAGGAGACATACCTGAAAAATGGCACACGTCTCCTGGATATGGAGACTTGCCCTACAGCTTAGAGGGGGAAACAGTACATTTAGAGCAAATTCAAAGATGGTGCTCTCTGAGTCTGTGAGACCCCCCCAAGGGGCTGCACAGGGTAAAAACAGCCTCAAAGAACATTGAGACCAGTCCTAAGAAAAAATGCTATCTGACAGAAACCAGGGCACAGGGGGGCAGATCTCTTGACTGACAGGAGACTCCACCGAGAGCAACGGTACCCGTCCTCCAATGTGTCCCCAGGTTGCCAAAAGTTCTTCAGATTTGCCAGGATTCCTGAGTTAGAGGAAGCACAACTTCCAAACCATCTTCCAGTGGCTTTAAGGGCCCACATGGCCTCGTGTCATTTTCAACGTGATAGAAATGAAAGCCTTGGTGGCCCGAGGTGCGATAGTGGCGTTGGTCCCCCAGAGAAGTCCCAGCAACCAAGACAGAGAGGCTAGTCCCCTCTCATCTACCACATAATAGAAGGGGGGGGGGGATAACTTAAGGGTCACTGTGAGGTCACAAAGAGATCAGCTTTCCTTTCAAGGCCATCTCTACCAAGTTGGAGGTCTCTCCCTCATGACAAGATCAAGGTTGTCAATGGTTTGTTTTACACCGTAGTCACTATTCTTTTACCTGCTTCTTCCCTCAGCCCTAGAACCTCACAGTCCCTGAACTTCTTGCCCCTCTCAATATCTTCTTTGGTTCTGAGAGGATGGATACAATAAGCAAGAGCACAAGGTCCTGCTCTCGACAGGGCTGAGTGCTTCCTTCTCTCCTCCTACCCTATACTGCACACTGACGCAACGGGGGAGGCACAGAACATGTGAGTGACAGAATCGGGGCTGCGGGGGTTTCCATGCAAACCCAATGTCACCACAGACAACGAGCCCCAGGCCTAGGCCCCAGGACACACAGCAGCAGCGTGCTTACCCACAAGGCACAAACGAGGGTTCTGAAAAGCCCCCAGATTCTTTGCAGGCCTTATCCACGCCCATCTGCTCACCCCCTGGTGTGTGGCATAAAGGATACTGCAGAAACCCAGCCTGGCAGTAGCTCAAGATCCTGGTGGGCATCCAATACATGAGGATTCCCCAGAACAGAAGGGAGCAGCTAGGTGGGGGAGTGGCTAAGTGTGGGAGTGGCTAGGCGTGGGAGTGGCTAGGCATGGGAGTGGCTAGGCGTGGGAGTGGCTAGGCATGGGAGCGGCTAGGCGTGGGAGTGGCTAGGTGTGGGGTGGATAGGCGTGGGAGTGGCACTGGCGGTGTGCTGGGGTGGGCGGGGCTTACCTCCTTTCCAAAGCAGGTAGATGGGCACCACGTAGAGCATAACATGCTGAATGTAGTAAATCTCCAATTCAAAGGGGAGCTGTAAGGACAGGAGGGAGAAAGGTGTCACAGAGCAGGAAGCACTTATGTCAACAGCTTCTGAAGTGGACGGCCCTTGCTCTTTAGGACCTACATCTTAGCCAAGCCATGCATTGCAAGTGCTCATGTCCCTTCACAATCACAGTGAAAAAAAAGAATAAAATGAATATACACTTATGACCTCGGCCCGGCATCTTCCAAAGCACGTTTGGCAGCGATGGTACTTGAAAAAACATTTCACTAAAAGAAAGCAGCCAGTTGATGTAAGAAATTTTGCATATACTAGATCCCCAGGAGATTCACCACGGCTATTCGTGGTATACTGAGGATCTGGGTGGTCTCTGCCACTACAGAATTTGCTAACAATTGTTTATCCAGTGTTTCCCAAACTTAGCCAGTGCCTTTTCTTCCCCAAACACTCAGTATTCTGCAGAATATGCTTGAGAAAACACAATGTAATGTCACTTCTTGCTCCAGATGAGGAGGTGGTAAATGATTTTTAGTTTTTTTAGTGTTTGTTTATTTTTGAGAGAGAGACACAGCGCGCGAGCCAGGGAGGGGCAGAGAGAGAGGGAGACACAGAATCCTAGGCAGGCTCCAGGCTCTGAGCTGTCAGCACAGAGCCTGACACGGGGCTCAAACTCAGGGACCGCGAGATCATGACCTGAGCCATAGTCAGATGCTTAACCAACTGAGCCCCTCAGGCACCCCAGGTTTGTGTTGCTTTATTATTGAGAGACAGAGACAGAGCGTGAGCAGGGGAGGGGCAGAGAGAGTGGGAGACACTGAATCTGAAGCAGGCCCCAGGCTCGGAGCTGTCAGCACAGAGCCCAATGCAGGGCTCAAACTCACGAACCATGAGATCACAACCTGAACCGAAGTTGGATGCTTAACCCACTGAGCCACCCGGGCGCCCCAAGGTGGTGAATGATTTAAAAGCTTATTTCTCATCTGACATGGAAAATGTGTGGCATAGGATTTATTAGTCCCATTTTCCAGATTTCCAAAAAAATAAAAAACAAAAAGGCAATTGCTAGGCCTGGTCTGGTCTAGATCCAAGAATAAAGAGTTTCCCCACTGGATATTTGGGGTCAGTCCAGAGTTAGCCCTACTTTTGGGTGAAGACCAAGCAGCTGGGCCAGTTCCGACATGGCGTGCCAAAAGGAGCGGCCCCACCCTCCCTCCACCCAACACGCCTGTTCACTCACTGCTGTTTCCCATCCCTCACAAAATGGAAGCCCTGGATTACCCAAGCAGAGCGCGGTTTCCACCTGGCATGGGGACCGTGCCACTGACTTTGGCAGAGGGCTAGGAATGCAAACAGCTGGGTGGCTAACACAATTCTGGGGGAAAAAAACTTCAGCAGCTGGCAAGAGGCCTGACCTCTGGGGCTTACACAGCCTGCAATACACACACACACACGCACACCCCTAGATGGAAGCCGAGAGAGACAAGAAAACCCAGGGGAAGGGTCCACTGCCTCCTTATTCCCTACAAGGCAAGCACAGAACCAAGACTGCACGCTAATGAAAGGAGGCAGTTATGGGCTCCCCAGGCGTGAGAGCCCAAGCATGCCTTGTGCCAGGGACTAAAACCAAAAGATGGCAGAGCCCCCCAGAATGGCAGCTGTGATGACTGTAGACCATGAACAGAGATGCTGGCTCCGGCCCTTGAAAATAAAAACCCACAGGGGCATCTGGGTGGCTCAGTGGGTTAAGCATCCAGCTTTGGCTCAGGTCATGATCTCACGGTTCCTGAGTTCAAGTCCCTAATCGGGCTTGCTGTTGTCAGCAGAGCCTGCTTGGGATTTTCTCTCTCTCTGCCCCTTCCCCGTGCTCTCTCTCTGTCTCTCTCTCTCTCTCTCGTGCACTTTCTCTCTCTCTCTCAAAAATAAACATTAAAAGAGAGAGAGAGAGAGAGAGAGAGAGAGAGAGAGAGAGAGAGAGAGATGCCTGGGTGGCTCTGTTGTTTAAGCTTCCAACTTGATTTCAGCTCAGGTCACGATCTCACAGTTTGTGAGTTCGAGCCCCACATTGGGCTTGGGATTCTCTCTCTCTCTCCTCCTCTCTCTGTCCCTCCCCCACTCACGCTTTCTCTCTCTCTCAAAATAAATAAATAAACTTTAAACAAAGAAAGAAAGAAAAACCCACGCAGAAGGAAAACTGCCCACGGACCCAGATGATGCCCAAGTACTATTTTATGTTCACAGGCGGATGTGAAAATCCCAGAAAAAGAGATGAGGTTCCACGTGGCTCTGCAGATCATGCTGGAATAGCTAGAAAAGGTTTGACAATGGGCATCACCAGCATGAGCTCTGGAGGTCTCGGGGGTCCGTACTGGACCCTCAATAGTCATACGATCCAGGATCACCCTACCATCTTGAGTTGGGTATTGCTTCATGCTTTTTCAACCATTTCCATATCCATGACCCTCCTCATTCCTCTCAAAAACCCCATGAGGCCGGCAGGCCAAGTGTCATCTGACAGATGAGGAACCCGAGGCACAAAAGGGTTAACTGCCTTGACTGTGCTCACCCAGAAAACAGGCAAGGAGGAAAAGGTCCCAGGAAGGTCCAACACTCTGGCTGTAATCTGAACGTTCAGGTACCTACGGGACTTGACCTCCCTCCCCCTGAAACAGGCCTGGGAAACCAAGCTGCTGTCGTACAGCACGGAGCAGAGAACTGAGCTAAGGACCCACAGCCCCTGGCCCCTGCCATGTCCTTTCAGACTCTAGCTACTGCTTACCCCTCTGCACTCACAGACCTCCTGGAAAGCACACCCTTCACATGCAATGTCCAGGGAGGCAGTTTAGCACTATGGCTAAGAGCAAAAATTTTGGAGACTGTCAAATCTGTGTTTCTAGATTTCATTATGTTCTTAAGAGCCCTTTGGTCTCAAGCAAGCCACCTAACCTCTCCACCCATTTTGGCACCAGTAAAATGGAAATAATTACGCTGTTATAAGATGATTGTAGGGGAACCTGGGCAGCACAGTCAGTTAAGTGTCCAACTCTTGGTTTTGGCTCAGGTCATGATCTCACGGTTTGTGAGTTCGAGCCCCACATCAGGCTCTGTGCTGACAGCATGGAGCCTGCTTAGGACTCTGTCTCCTTCTCTCTTTGCCCCTCCCTTGCTTGCTCTGTGTATCTTTCTCAAATTAAAAAAAAAAAAAAACCTGTAAAAAAAAAAAGCAGGCTGATAAAGCCCACCAGGCCTCTGGACTCAGACTGCCTAAAACATTAGGGGCACAGACTCCGTCCATAGCAAGCGTGTGACCTTCTTCTTCCTAGCATATGGCTCTGCCGGCCACACCCCCATGCTCTGCCATGGAGACAAGCAATCCCACCGTGCCCTCCATCCTTGGTCACCTCAGTCACCATAAGAAGCCCCAAACTCCCAGGTCACCACCCAACACCTGAAATCTAAATTTTTTTAATGTTTTTTTTAATTTATTTTTGAGAGAGAGAGAGAGAGAGAGAGACAGCACAAGCAGGGGAGGGGCAGAGAGCAAGGGAGGCACAGAATCCGAAACAGGCTCCAGGCTCCGAGCTGTTGGAGCTGTCAGCACAGAGCCCGACATGGGGCTCAAACTCACAAACCGTGAGATTATAACCTGAGCCAAAGTTGGATTCTTAACTGACTGAGCCACCCAGGCACCCCCCAACACCTGAATTCTAATCCCTCCCTAATCTGACCTCATCTCTCACCTTCCCTCAATTCTAGAAACCCTTCCAGCCTACCCTCTGGAACCCAAGGACTATTTGAAATTGTCTTCATTCTCGTACTATCCTCTGAGAAGTCCCTCCACCTTCTTGCTTTAATGAAAACCTGGTTCCCTGCTCCTCTGAGGTCACGGCCACCCCTACAGCCCTCTCAAGTGCTGGGTGGTTCTCCTCCCATGTTGCCCGGTACCACGGGGCCAGGAGGGGTCCTGTCTGCTCCTCACTGCTGCTTCTACACCGCTGGCTGTTCCACAGCCATTCTCTCTGCCTCCTTCCTAACCATGCCCCCAATGGAATCTCATGCCCTTGTACTCTACCTCCCTCTCTTGTCATTTTTTCCAACGTTCCTGCATTGGAAATGTGTCAAAATGCCTGTGTCCTCAACAGTGTTAGCACTGGCCTGTCGTGTACCCCACTCTCCAATGACCACAGCCTACCTAGCCAACAACTCACTCGCCTCATATCCGTCTTACAACTTCACTGGGACCTATGGTCCACTGATCCCACCACGTTTTGACTGCTCCTCACCGACCTCACATCCTCACTTCTACACTTGCCCTTTAGCCCCTTCCCTACATTCTCAACCCTCCGGACATTCTCTCCCCACTCTATCCTACCTGCTTTGCAAATCCACATTGCTGGTTAAATCAAACTCTCTGCCTTCCCGTCTCTACCCCCCAGGCAAATGAGCATTGCCGGAGAAAAATATAAAACTATGCTATGAACCCCCCTTAAATTCATGACGGCAAGTCTTAATGCTACCCAACCATCTTTCCACATGCCCCAATCCATTTGCTCTCCTCTCTCTTGGACAACTATTTTACAACTTCTTGCGCCTTCCTCAAACCTTCCTCCGTCCTGCCCCTCAGCTGGTGAAATGCCTTCCTACTCCATTCAGGGGAAAAAAGAGCAATGGGAAAAGGAGCCACCCCTTCTTCATCCCCATGCCAGGGTGTCCCAAAGATTTTTGGCACAATCACCCCCTTGTGCAGTTAACAACCTGTGCAACTATACATGCCAGTTGGTCCTGGCCAATTTTCAGGCCTCATCTTACTTCACCCCTATTCTTTCCCTACCTCAATGACTGCCCTTCTCAACCTCCATTACCGGATCTTCCTTCTGTCCCTTATATCGAAGGGGCTCAGAACCAAGTCCTTGGCTCTCTTTCTATCTGCTCTCACTCACTAGATAACCTTATTCAGGCTCCTGGCTGTAAAGGACTTCTGTCTACTGATGACTTCCAAATGAATATGGCCACCCTAGAGCCAGGCTGCTCAG